CCTTCACTAATGGAAGCAGTACAGTGTAATCAACCTGTTACCAGATAAGCTGGCTGACCACCCTTTGGAAATGGTGCCACATGAGGGACTCAGTGTTGGCCTCTGCTGCTCGCACATCGGGCACCCAGTGGTGGCCATAGCCAGGCAGGCTTTGGTGAGTGGAGGTCCATTTGCTAAGCCCATGCGTAACTTCCATCCCTGCCACCTTGGCCACTTTGTTCATGGACCCGTTGGGTGATGACAGACATAGCTGGGGAAAGGGACTGACTGGTATCCACAGAATGTGTCATCCTATCCACCTGATTATAAAAATCCTCCTCTTCCGAGGTCACTGTTTGGTAAGCATCCAGTGGGACACAAATATCTTTATGTTTTTGCCCATTCAGAGAGGTCTATCACTTACCTCTTCCCCAAATTTCCTTGTCACTACTTTTCCAATCATATGCGTTCTAAAACCATCAGCCAAACATTGGTCACAGCTCATGAACTGGTATATAATTTCACATATGGACATTTCTCCTTCCAAGCAAAGTGAACAACCAAATGCACTTTCCAAAATGCTGCCCACTGGGAAGATTTTCCATCACCACTGTCCTTTAGGAATGTTCCAGAAAGAAGTTTAGTACCACAGTTATTCACTTTCATATGGTGTCTACATATCATGTGGAATCACCTGTAAACCATGCTTGAGTCTTCTCATGTCAATTGATCATAGGGAACTCTCCGTGAGGCCATAGGTGCAAACTGGAGGAGAGAAAGTGGTGTAGCAAGAGTGGGGATCATGGGCATTTGGGTCACTTCTTCATGTAACTTACTGTGTCTTCAGGGACTGCTCAGGCCCAATCTCATATATACCACAATTATTTGATGAAGGAGCAGTGCTGTGCTTGCCCATCTTTATGGCTTGGTGGGTCAGATAACACCCAGTTCGTGCTGGGCAACTCAGTTTGCATGGTTACTTGGTGGCCACTCGTTAAACATTTAGTCTCTATTAAGGCTTAGTAGCAAACTAAGAGCTGTTTCTCAAGAGGAAAGTCGTTATCGTGAGGGGGTGGCAGGCATTTTTTTCAAAACCTAAGGACCTCTGCTATGATTCACTTATATAGGGGCCTGCCCAAGGCTCCAAAGAGCATTCCTGTCTACACTGACAGTTCAAGCACCTTTGGATCTGCTGGATCCAATGGCCCAAGTGGCAGAGCAGCTTGCATGGCAGTCTGGACCTGTTGCAGAGCCTTCTCTTGCTCTGGACCCCACTCAAAACTAGCACCTTTTTGGATCCCTCAGTAAACAGGCCAGAGTACAAACCCACATGAGGAGTATGTTGCCTCTAAAATCCAAGGAAGCCCACTAGGTGTTGTGCTTCATTTTTAGTTATAGGAGGGGCCAGAGTAGCAATTATTCTTTACCTTGGAAGGGATATCTTGACATGTCCCACACCACTTGAGCCTTGGATGTTTCACTGGGGTAGAAAGTCCCAAATTTTTATTACACTTATTTCCTACCCTCTGACATACAAAGTTCTTTAAGTCTAGAGTAGTTGTTACTTCCTATGCGTTAGGTTCAATCAGCATAATGTAACAGACCAGAGTGATATCTTGTTGAAGGGAAAGGCAGCCAAGATCCCTGAAAACTAAATTTTGTCATAGGGCTGGAGAGTTGATAGACCCCTGAGGTAGGACAGAGAAAAGTGTAGAAAAGAGAAAAGGCCAAAATTGTTGGCCTTTCAGACTCTTAAGCACACTGCTTCTGTTAGGCCTTATTGACAGGTATAGAGATAAAAGCGTTTGTCACATCAATAACTGCATATCAGGTACCAGGGGATGTGTTACTTTGCTCGAGCAATGAAACCACATCTGGTGCTCCACCTGGTTAATGTTGTGATAATCCACTGAAGTCTCCAAGATTCATCTGTCTTCTGCACAGGCCAAATAGACAAGGTGAATGGGGATGTGATGGAAATCACCATCCCTGCATCTTTCAGTCCTTGATGATGGCACTAATCTGCGCAGTCACTCCAGGACTGTGTTATTGCTTTTACTTTACTGTTTTGTTAGGTGCAGACAGTTGTAATAAATGCAACTTGGCTTTTCCCACCATAATAGCCATCACTCCACAGGTCAGAGAACCAATATGGGGATCTGCCAGCTGCTGAATTTATCTATTCCAATTATGCATTCCAAAACTGGGGAAGTAACCACATGATGGCTTTGGGATGCACTGGGCCCACTGTGAGACAGTTCTATGCAAAACTCAATTGTTAACTTGACCTCTGTAAGCCCCTACTCTGTCTGATGGACCTCTGTGATGTTTTGGGCCTCCTGGAATTAGTGTCAATTCAGAGCCAGTGTTCAGTAGTCCCTGAAAGGTCTGATTATTTCCTTTACCCCAGTGTGCAGTTACCGTGGTAAAAGGCCATAGAGTTCCTTTGCAGAAGCCAGAGAAAAATCAATTTCAGTCTGGTATAGGAGAAGTCACAGATGTCACTGTCTGATGAAAGTATTGGAAGAATTATCATCTTCAGTGTGGCCAGGTCAATGGGTACATGTTAGAGAAATGAGTCCTGAAGATTTACTACTCAGGTGTTTATTATTGTCATGGTGTAAACAACAGACTATAAGCTGTATATGACTAGTACTAGCAGAGTAGTTTCATCTAGCCGGTATAATCTGAAATCAGTATATTCAGTCTACTTAGCTGAAGTTTTCTCTAGTATTAAAAATTCTCTCCCAGACTTTGCTTTTTGGTACATTATTTTTTCCTTGTGGCAAAGACTCACCTACCTTGTTACCTTTTCTAACCTCTCTTTCTCATTTGAAGGCAGTTTGTTTCTCTGTTCCCAACCATCTGCTCATTCCTATACCTCTCTGCTATCCCACCCTATTTTTCTATCAGATCCCTGTAGTAATTCCCAGTTCACTGCACTTTTCTAACTCATTTGCATTGCCATAGGAAATCCCGTAAGTTTTCATAGATGATTTTAATATTTATGGTTTTCCGTTCATGTTAAAACAAACTGTATTTGATCCCTCCCTTTTGGGAAGCCCATTAATGTGTTATTAAGAGCTAACACTTGTTTATCACTTTTTATAGGCCATTTATTCTTCACAACATGAGATATATACTATTAATCCACTTAATTTTATAGTCCTCTTAAATATATCTCATACCAGTCAACCTCTCTTGTATTCATGGCTACCATCTCAGTCCAATCCATTATCCTCTCTCACCTGGATATCTTCATTAACGTCCTAAATTGTGCCCTTTCTTTCCATTCTCTACACAGAAGATAAAGTGATCTCTTAAGAATGTAGATGTATTATGTCACTTCCCTTTTTAAAGTCCCTACAGTAATTTTCATTGAATGGGGAATAAAATCCAAACTCCTTATCAAAGCTTATAAGGCCCCACTTGGTGAGGTCCTTTCTTCTTTGACCTCAGTCATATGATCAAACTGTACTGGACATTTTCTTGGTTCTCTGGGACCCTCAGCTTGACTTTTATAATAGCAAACATATGACATGTGTATGATCACATTATTCTTACTCTTTTTCTTGACGGATAAATAGCAAGAGGAGGACTGCACTTTACATGGCAGTTCTTGTTGTCACTGTAAACCTACAAAAAGACAAGGTGTTGAAACACTTAAGAAGTCTTTGACTTATGTGAGTATTCAGGACACTGTTGCAGGAAATGGATATCAACACAATTAGTGATGGAGCATGGAAATTTGCAACTGTACAAACATGGACGAAATTCAAATTTGAAGTACTTCAAAAAGTTCCTGTTTGCATAGCAAGTCTTTCGGCTGGTTCTCCTTTCACCAGTGTTTGTACAGCTCCTGAAATTGTTGAGAAATGGAGTGTCTGTGGTTTTGACAGATGGCTAATTTGGCAAGCTTCAGCCATCTCGATTTTATCATCAAGTTACATAGAACTTTCCCAGTTTCCTGTGAGCAAGCCTTCAGCCTGTCTATAGAAACTTCACGCCTGAATTCACCTCCCTACTGAGTCTTAGTGGTTTCCTGGCATAGAAGCAGAGTTCAAAAATGAAAATATGATGTAAAATAAATCTGTGGTCCATGGACATTCCAGCCATGGTGTTCATGATGTTTGTTGTATACATATTTTATATGCTTGTTATATACAACTTATGTGTTACTTTGTTTTATCATTTGTTGTTTCCAGTTTTAATGACATAATGAGAAGACAAAATAAAATATTCCATCAGATTTTTGATTGTTCAAGGCTCTGTCTTACGGAATTTTACATAATATGGCAGGGAAAGACCCTCAGTTATTAAATAATAAAATTGACTTTTTTTTTCTTTTCTTTTTTTTTTTGCTGAGGAAGATAGCCCTGAGCTAACATCTGTGCCAGTCTTCCTTGACTGTATATGTGGGTTGCCACCACAGCATGGCTGACAAGTAGTATAGGTCAGCGCCCAGCATCTGAATCTGTGAACCTGGGCCACCAAAGCAGAATGTGCTGAACTTAACCACTTTGCCGCAGGGTTAGCCCCATAGTTGACTTTTTTTTTTTGTTGAGGAAGATTAGCCTGAGCTAACATCTGCTGCTAATCCTCCTCTTTTTGCTGAGGAAGATTGGCCCTGAGCTAACATCCATACCCATCTTCCTCTACTTTGTATGTGGGACACCTACAACAGCATGGCTTGCCACACAGTGCCATGTCCACACCCGGGATCCCAACTGGTGAACTCTGGGCCGCTGAAGGAGAAGGTGCGCACTTAACCACTGCGCCACCGGGCCGGCCCCCCAAAGTTGAGTTTTAAACACAGTGGTTTTGATTCAGTTGGCCATTGTTGAGACACCTTGTGCTAGTTGTGTAAGTTTTTTTTTTTGTTTACCTAAGATTTGATAGCCAAAGTTACCTCATAAAAACAAGTAAATAAAAACAAGTAATTTACTCTTGGGACAACAAATACTGTGTCTATATTCATAGTTGTTTTATTACACAAAAATCATGCGTGTGAGTGTGTGTGTGTGTTTTGGGGCTGGGTTTCACCTCACCATACCAAGGGTAGGTGGTGAGCTAAGGCCCCTGGCGGCTCGGGGCACCGCATCTCACCCATGCCACAGCCAAAGCTGCAAGTGGTTTTCAACCAACACTGACACAAGAATCGATTTTAACTTACTGTTAGTGGAAAGAGAATACACTGAGAAGTCATATAAGAGTGGTGACAAGAAGTAGATATTAAGGTTGAATGTCAGGAAGCCCAAGGTTACTTGTACATAGATTTTCCTCTTATACTATGGAGTTGGCTAAGTGGAATGGTTCAGATTGTTTGTTTTTCAAATTCTATTACTCAGTGAGCTGCAGAGTTCTGAATACTTTAGGTTTCATACTTATTACCCACAATCTATGCCCCTTTTCTCTAATTTATAAGATTTCATTTAAGAAAAGGGTTAAAGTTTAAAAAATGGTGCTTTAAGTAACAAGTAAATAAAATGAAAATACGTTTTTCAGTTTCTTGTATCTAATATGTTTGTCATAAGCCAAGCACTGTTGTTATTTTAGCTGCCTGTTGTGTGTATGTGTCAGGGGTGAGGAAGGGAGGGAACAGTTATTGATTAATATGATCACTTGGTATTATAGTACTTTATATTATTTTTAACCATAAATGAATTTTGGTGATGGGAAAACTTGTTTTTCAGGTTGAAGCACTCAATAAGTTAAAAACTTTAAATAGTTTAATCAAACTGAATGCAGTGAAGCTAAACAGAGCCAAAGGGAAAGAGGCCATGCACACCTGTTTAAAACAGAATGCTTACCGGGAGGCCCTCTCTGACCTGCAGTCACCTCTGAACCCGTGTGTCATCCTCTCAGAACTCTAGTAAGTGACCGTCTGTGCTGTGCTCAGTGAATCTCCCATGAAAATAGCATTGCAGAAAGGATTCCTGAGTGACTGCCTTGGGGGAACAGTAGGGCCAGCTGTTAGCCCCAGTAAGTGGAATAAAATTAAAGAAGGACGATCTCAAAGTCCTCAGGGGTTATTCTTGTGTATAGTGGGAGGGATGCCTACCAGCTAAATTTATCTGTGGGGTTAGTGCAAATTATTAAAAGTTAATTTCTTTTTAATTGTATGTAATTAAATTGTACGTGTGTTACTGGTTTCTAAGAGTTAAAAATGCCATGCAAGCAAAATGTTGGCAACCGTCATAAATTATTTACTAATTAACTTTCCTTTTTCAAAATGAGATCTTGAATGAATTTGGAAAATTATTTCTTACTTTTTCATTTCCTACAAAAGTAATAGCAGAAAAGTAATAATGTGTACTCAGTATGTCAGTGTTCAAAATCGATCCCTCTTTAATAAATCTATAATGAACTCATAATATTCCTGATTTTAATCCAGCGATATTGGTATTGTTACATATAATAACATAAAGTTAAAGAAGAATAAGAAAGGAAAGGAGGAATTTTAAATGTAGGTAGTGAGACAGGCAAAGCTAGATTTTCAGTCCAGCGCATCTGGCATCATTACATGCCAACCAAGGCTGTGATCCCTGTTTGTTTTCTACCAAGAGGAAATGTTCTAGTTCTGACTTCTGCAGACCTGAGTGGAACAGGTGAGAGGTTCTCTCAAGCCTAGTATATCACAGCAAAATGACAATATTGCCATTTCTTTACGTTGAAGTGGGCTAATTTTCATCTTGTTCGATTTCAGTGTTGAAAAGTGTAAATACATGGATTCCAAAATGAAGCCTTTGTGGCTGGTGTACACCAACAAGGTGTTTGGGGAAGATTCAGTTGGAGTGATTTTTAAAAATGGTGATGGTAGGTACTGAGGTTTTTATAGTGCCATCTCCCTTAGTATTTTTCATTTGTTGTCACTTTGCTTTATCTGGAAGGTGATATGTAAATGTGTAAGCAGGGGCAGCCTAGAGGTAGCTATCAAGGGTCATTAGGTTGAATTCGGCATGTCTTAAATCCCTTTTATTTTCATCTTGGAAAATGACTTCTACAGCTTACATACATACCTTGTTGTAATACACTTTCCCTTTTTTCCTACAAAATATAAAGTCTGTCTATCCTTTGGTAAAAAGCTTGTGAAATACAAGAGAATATTTTTAATAATGTGTTCATATATCCTGTTTCAGTGATGGCAATTTTGATATTGCTGCCATAGTTTTGTATTTTAATTAAAATATCTTACTGACCCATACTTTATAAATGCCATGCCTCTGAAGTAATCACACCAACCAGAATGCAGTCATGAGTGCCACCACTTGCCAGTTGTCTGACTACAGGCAAGTCTTGCACAATTCATTGAGCTTCAAGTTCTTCATGTCCGTGATGATTATAGCATCTGTATTTTGGGTTTCTTAAAAGGAATTAAGGGAGATAACATAAGTAAATGGGTTTAATATAATACATGCCTAAAACTATTTTGAAAAGAGCTTGTAGTGTTTAGCTAGACATTTAACCCCATTTGACCACACGAATGTCATTATGTGGAAGTCAATAGTTTCGGAGCCTCTGTTACCTGAAAATTACCCTTAGACGTGATAATTAATTAAGTTTTACAGTTTTACAAACCCGTCATGCAATTAGTTATGTGATTCTTAAGAACTTTCTGTGCATCCCTAAAAGCAAACAAGAAGGAAAAAATTTAGCAACGTGAATTGTGTGTTTGCTGTAATACGTCATTCCTGTGTATAACAGTATTACAGCATCCATGCAGTTCGCATAGTACCTTACGCATGGTGAAGAATTAAAAACATTTTTTAATGTAATTTCTGAAATAGTGTTATAAGTACATGCTAAACAACAAATATAATATTTCACATAATGAATATGGTCAACATTAAAATTTAGGGGAAAAATTAGTACAACAGTAGTCAGTGGTTTTAGTTAATTCTGGCTGAATTACCTCATCTGGAATTAACGTTATTAGGTATAAAATGGGAAGCATTTATAATAAAGCAGGGTTTTTTCCCCCTTAGATTTACGACAGGATATGTTGACACTCCAGATGCTGCGCTTGATGGATTTGCTCTGGAAAGAAGCTGGTCTGGATCTTCGGTGAGATTTCTAGTGAATTTATTTTTGTCTCCTATTGTATTCCTTCCATGGCAAAAATTTTAAAACTTTTTGTTGATTCCTTCCCTTCTGCTACTGATTGTTGTTAACAATAATATTTGTGTTGCACTTTACAGTTTACAGTGTGCTCTTAAATGCATTATCTTATTTAAACCTCATCAGGTGTAAAACTGTATATGTGACAGAGATTCCAGAAAGAAGAAATAGGTTTGAACTTGCAGTAAAAGTAAAGCCTGAACAGACAACAGTGGAGTCACATTCGAACCTGTGGTTTTGAAGGTGCTCTCAGGGAGGATTCACTGGTGGTCATGGGAGTGACGAGGCCTGAGACAGGCCTGCCCCTCTCCTTACTTAGCCTCGTAACATCGATTCCTCTACCTTCCTGGGAGGGAAGTGTTTAGTAGGGATCTCGGGGATTTCAGCTTGCCATCATTATTAGGGGTAGACAGTGAGCAGGACAGGTTTATGGAAACAGAAACAGATAAAATGGAAATCTAGTGGATTTTAAAAGTTTTAATTATTATCAAATGTTTTGAGGTGAAGAGCAGATGAAGGTAATTACAAACAAAATATTGATATATTTAACTGCATAAAAATAAAAGATTTGATGTCAACCAACAAAATTAAAAGTTAGGCCTCATGCTAGACATTATATTCATAATGAACAGGACAGGAGGATAATAATCGTAAATATTTAAAGAGCTCATAGATATAAATATATGGGAAAAAGCTGTGAAATATTCATACAAGATATAAAATAAATAAACTAATAATTATATGACGCTGTCAGTTCCAATGTAGAAGTATAAATTACAAGAACAATTGAGGGGGCTGGCCTGTGGTGCAGTGGTTGGGTTTGCTTGTTCCTCTTCGGTGGCCCAGGGTTTCGCCGGTTTGGATCCTGGGTGTGGACATGGCACTGCTCATCAAGCCATGCTGAGGCGGCATCCCACATGCCACAGCTAAAATATACAACTAGGTACCAGGGGTGCTTTAGGGAGAAAAAGGAAAAATAAAATCTTTAAAATATACTACTGTGTGCTGGGGGGATTTGGAGAGAAAAAATCAGGAAAAAAAAAGAAAAAGATCGGTAACAGTTGTTAGCTCAAGTGCTATCTTTAAGAAACAACTAAACAATTGAGGGGCCGGCCCGGTGGCCCAGCGGTTAAGTTCGCATGTTCCGCTTCTCAGCGGCCCAGGGTTCGCCGGTTCGAATCCTGGGTGTGGACACGGCACCGCTTGGCACACCATGCTGTGGTAGGAGTCCCACATAAGGTAAAGTAGAGGAAGATGGGCACGGATGTTAGCTCATGGCCAGGTTTCCTCAGCAAAAAGAGGAGGACTGGCAGTAGTTAGCTCAGGGCTAATTGTCCTCAAAAAAAAAAAAAAAAAAAAAGAAAGAAAACCAAACAATTGAATACTGTTGATTTCCTAGAAAAGATTTTATTCAGTGATAATCTAGTCTAGGACACGATTGAAGCAACAAAAACATAAGTATTTTCGTATACCATTGTAAGTTAATATAAACCTCTCTGTATCAAGTTTTTTTATATCCTGTGTCCAGTATTTCCAGAATTTACTTAAAAATTAGAAATATTAACAGATTTATGCACGAAGATATTCATCCTTGCTTTATGTACAATTTAAAAAATTGGACCAGTCTTTTGAACATTTGCTCAATGGTAGAATAATGGTTTTAAAAAATGATTAGTTTTTCCCTGTGACCAAATATCTCAGGTATTTTAAAATATTTTTTATAGAATTTGGAGAAAGTGCTTATCTTCACATATCAAATGAAATAAGTGAGATGCAAATGTGTTTTTGTATAATTATTTCAACCATATTAAAAATTCACTGGAAAATGACACTAAAATATTGACAGAAACTAAAATGGTAATAGACATTATTTCTGGGTGGTGAAATTAAAGGTGATTTTCCCCCCTACCTCCTTTGTGTACCTGTTTATCTAGTATTCTACAATGAGCATGTGCTCCTTTTTTAATCAAGGCGAAAAAAACCATTAAGCATATTTCACGATATAATACAGGTCCATACAATTTTTA